CTCGGACAGCTCTGTGGCGGCTGGATGGAGATTATTCCTCAATTGGCCCACGGAAGTGAGGGATGGCCCAAACCACAGGCCATTCATGTGAGTCCCAACTCTGTTTTCATTTTCCGCTGCCGATGTTTTCGCTCAGTTCGATTTCGCCTGTGGAGGATTTGTAATCGAACCCACCAAGGCAATTTTTGGTCCCGACTGCAAGACCCTTATGTGGTGGTCCTCCGCCATTATTTCCTTACCTGCTCATTTCAGCAACTACGATTTTACTGCTATAGCTGAGGAAATCTACGCAGACGAGTCGAAGCGGGAGGGTCGCTCTCTGGAGGACATTGTGCAAAATGTTGGGTTTCATCCAAGGTTGTTTGCCATTAATTGATTCCGAATTCACCCTCACAGGTTGTCGAGGCCTCTAACGGCATGGATAAAACATCCGGACTCGTCATTAAGTATCCCGGCGGCCCCGACATGTACGACTACGAGCGCCACGCATATGGCGCCGGCCCACCGATTGGCATGGGTATGCTTTTGTCGACCGCCCAGAAGCTCGGCAAGGCCGTCGACGGATACATTGCCACCACCAGCACCTGCATTGAGCCCGTCGGCGTTCCCTACCTCCGTGAATTTTACGGGAAGCACGGGAAAGAGCTGTTTACCATCGGGATGCAGGCCCACGAGCTCTGTTGGGCCAATACGACCCCGGCCGTGCTGTCCAACGAGCGCGTCAAATCGTTCTTGGACCGCGCTGTGAGCGAATACGGCAAGAAATCTGTCCTTTATATCTCCTTCGGGTGCGCGCCTGTATTCTTCATCACTGCTCAGAATCCTTACATGTCGCACTCTCGCCAGATCGCTCTTCTTCCCGGTTGCCACGCCGCAGCTCGTCGAAGCCCTTGTGACCACGCTACTCGAGCTCGAGGAGCCATTCCCATTCATCTTCGCGCTTGGGTCCGCGATGGCGTCCCTCCCTGTAGACCTCATACAGCGCGTCAACACGAGCGGGAAAGGGCTTATTTGCGACTTTTGGGTCGAGCAGCTCTCTATCCTGCAGCATGGCGGCGTCGGATGGTTCCTCACACATGGCGGGTTCAAGTAAGTATTCACCCACCTCAATCTCCAGTCAACCTGTTTCATCACTCACGTTTTTTCGTAGTTCTGTGACCGAGGCATTTACGCAGGGCATCCCGCTCATCATCTGGCCTGTTGGCGCTGAGCAGACTGTCAACGCGGCGATGTTGTCAGCTGAGCCGAATCCAGTGGCGATTGAGCTCCTGCAGGTATTAGCGTTCCCTAATTCTCTTTTTGAATCGACCCACTTAACTTGAACGTGCACAGATTCGTGCTGGCCCACAAATCGCGCCTTCCCTCCACAGTAATGTCAAAATTACCGGTGATGAGCCTCAGTATGTGCTAAGCCCCGAGCGACGTACCTGAGCTGTGCGAGACGTAGAAAGAAGATAAAGATAGAGAGATTGACAGGAAGTGTCAATCACGGATGTTTGATCCGAGTGACTCAGATAGGAGTCATTATTCCACGGTTCCACTTCAAGTGGCCCCGCTTCAAGGCAGTGTAGTACAGTCATTTGTAGTCAGTAGTTGAGTCATTTGGACTCATTTTGGTTCTGACTCATGCTGTGCACGGACCATGTAGAATTACTATATAAACCCCCCTGTATCTTACTGTAAATAGATTGGATTTTAGTCCTTTGTTTGTGTTTGTGTCCTCCGTCGCTCCCGGTCCTTCGTCGCCTCCGTTCTGTGTCCTCCGTCGCCTCCGTTCTGTGTCCTCCGTCGCCCTTGTTTGAGTCCTCCGTCGCCCCTGCTTTGTATTGTAGCTATATATTTTATATATATTGCTGCAGTCTCGCCGTCTCGCCTTCGCCTTGTTTAGTTGCAGCGTTAACCCGTTGCAAGTCCCTTCAGTCTCCGTCCCCGCCGCCTCCGTCCTAGTTGGGATTCGCCCCTTTCCCGCGCTTCCAACCCTCTCGCCTAGTTATCCTCTTTGTTTCTCCTTAGGGTGTTTGAACGAAGTCGAAGTCCTCGCTTTTTACAACCAGTTCTCCGGTCCGCTTTATTGAGTTTGTTTGGATTCCTTGCTCCCGACTTCCTTACACGCTCATAGACACCGAAGACCTATCACCGGAACTGTGCAGGACGCGTCGGAGGAGTTCAAGGCGACGTTTGCTGCTGCGCGGGGTGACAAGGGTGCAAGATTGCAGGAAAATGTGGCGAAGATGTCGAAAGCCCTTAAGGAGGCGCGCGCGGGAGAAGCGAGAGAGGAAATTATGCGGCTGGTGAATTTTTAGATGGCAACGCCTTAGGTAGATTCATCATCTTAGTTCAGGCGACTTGAAATTAATTGAATGATTTCTCGAGTACCAGCGAATTGATGGTCGAGGTGAACCGCACCAGGCGCATGGCATTCTCTCCCTCCGCCCGTAGAGCCCATTCTACTTGCTCCTTTTCGGGTTGTTTCATGCATTGAACTCCTAAATTGTGCTTGGTTCCTTCCCGATGGATAGTACGTACAATACATAGTGAAGTTCAACTGAGATCTCAAGGTACCGTAACGCGTACTCTAAATCAAGTCCCTTCATTATAATAATGGTGTAAGATGTTTCGATTTTCGCGAGAGATAGTGGCTTCTTGCCTTTCAACGGTGCGCACTAGCAGGGACATCAAAAGCAAGTTCAAAAGTAGCCATTACCAGCCGTGAGGAAGCTGATTGTCATATATTACTTGAAACAAATGGTTGGCATCGGAGCGGCATGGTAAGGTAACTCTGAGACGTTTTTAGTAAGGCACTGGCTATGAAAGGCAAAGCCAACCTGCTAAGTTTAAGTATTATGAATCACACAGTCGAACTGTATTGGTGCTGGGTACTAACACAAGTTGAGGCACTTGAGCTTAGCTCAAATCCCTTACACTTGCGCGAAGGTACCCTGACTCCGACTCGCCAAACGACCTCACATAGATTCAACAGCACACGAAAAACTCGTTGAGAATTCCTCGAGGAAGGTCGCCTGCCTGATGGTCAAGACTCATCTGCCAAATCAGAAGTGGATAGGATCCCTCAATGTGCGCCAATGGAACCAAGCTGACGTTCCAGCAATAGGTACGATGCGATGATCACAACTGAAAGATCGTATCAACAGAGTGGTCGATGGAGTGCTAGAGATTCGGCAGAATCCAGTCAAAAAAATGTGTCTGCCGCACAGTGGTACCTTGATTCAAACAAGGACCTCGGAATATATCCACATCGTGTTTCTAGTAATGAATTCCTATGTACATAATTACACCATACTGCCTTTCGTTGCCCAGTTTCAATGTTTGCCGGAGATTTAGAGGAACTTTGCCAAAAAAAAAAAAGAATGCCATTGTAAAGACAGCTAGAGCAATACCTTGATTCGAACAAGGACCTCGGGGATTACACTTCAGCTTGATACACAAGAAAATCCCGCGTGCATCATTACACCATACTGGTTCACATACCCCATTTCCAGGTTGGTGGAATGCAAGACATTTTTATGCTAAAAGAATGTGAATCAGGGGTACTGTCTGCGAATAAAAACCTCCGCGGCTCGATCGGCCGAATTCAAACCAATTGTTACCTCGATTGTTGAGGGCGAGCTGAAAAATATACCAGCGAATATCTTCCAAGTCCTAAGGCAAATTCCGTGTGCATCATTACGCCATACTGCTTTATTTGCCCTGTTTCGAAGTTGGGTGAGTGCTAGAATTCATAGGGATTTTGTTCAAAAATGTAGACGTTGTGGAGATGGAGAGCAGTACCTTGACTTGAACAAAGACCTTGGGGCTGAGTGTAGTCGTCATGTCACGCTGTCTTAGGAATACCCGTGTGCATAATTATACCAGCCTGCTTTCTTTGCCCTCTTTCATGGTGGGTGGAATGTCAGAGATTCAGATGATTTTTCTGCAAAAAAAGAAAGAAAAAAAAAAACACAATCGCTACCAAGAGCAGCACCTTGATTCGAACAAGGACCTGAGGAATACAGATGTGGATTACTTGCCAGGAAATTCCTGTGTGCAGCACTACACCATACTGCTTTCTTTGCCCTGTTTCGAAGTTGATAGTGTACAAGAAAATCCGCAGCAACTAGCTAAAAAAAGGAAGGTTGTCCAACAAGACTCCAGAGCAGTACCTTGATTCGAACAAGGATCTCGGGAGTTACACATGCCGCTCGAATACCTCAGAAAATCCCATGTGCATCATCAGAGAGCTTGCGCAAAAGCCGCATGAGCCGCATGCGGCTTTTTTGCATTGCGCAAAGCCGCATGGCAAAATTTGAAATGTGAGAGGTGTCAATCAACTATTTCAATGTAAGCTTACCTGAGGCGAAGGAGAGGTGCTGTGGGGAGAGGGAACATCCTCAGCATTGCCTCTGCTGCGCAGTAGACATGAGAGTGTGGGGAAAGGAAGTGGAGCTTAAGTGATACCTTTGTGGTGCGTAAAAAATGCGGCCTCCCACAGTTGCACATCCAACAAAAAGCACTCTCAGGAGTGGAATATGGGATTTAAGGGGCATTCGATGGTATTTAGCGAGATAAGAATTGAAAACAGCGAAGAGAAACCCGCGGCTTTGCGCAATGCAAAAAAACCGCATGCAGTTCGTGCGGCTTTTGCGCAAGCTCTCTGATGATTAGAGCAGTACCTTGATTCGAACAAGGACCTCAGGAATGTATTATCCTAGTTTTGCTGGAAAATGGAATTCCTGTGTGCAGCATTACACCATACTGCTTTATTTGCCCTGTTTCGAGGTGGGTGTACTACTAAAAATTCCGAGGAATTTTGTTCCAAAAAAAAGGTGAAGTGTGAAGATGGAGAGCAGTATCTTGATCGAACAAGGACCTCAGGAATATATTATGTATTCTTTGCCCACGAAAGAAATTCATGTGCCTTTCCTTGGGTCATTTCGAAGTTGGTGGAGTGCCAGAAACTCTGTGAGATTTTATTAAAAATATTCCTAAATCCCAATCCTACAGAGCAGTACCTTGATTCGAACAAGGACTTCGGGAATTACACTTCGTTTAGAACACCCAAGAAAATCCCGCGTGTATCCTTACACCATACCGCCTTTCTTTGGGCCATTTCGAAGTTGGTGGAGTGCCAGAAACTCTGTGGGATTTTATTAAAAAATATTCCCAGATCCCAATCATACAGAGCAGTACCTTGATTCGAACAAGGACCTCAGGGTTGATGAGATCCCATCTGTCCTAAGGAATCCCCATGTGCATAATTACACCATACTGCTTTCTTTACCCTATTTCAAGGCCAGTGGAGTGTTAGAAATTCAGCAGAATCTGGCCAAAAAAAAGAAAGACGATGAACCGCCGACTGAGAGCAGCACCTTGATTCGAACAAGGACCGCGGGAATTACACGTGCCTCCAACATGTCAAGAAAATCCCGTGTGCGGCATTACACCATACCACCTTTCATTACCCTGTTCCGAGAGGAGTGGGATGCTGAGATTCGTAGCAAAAAACCTAGCTCGGAAAACAGAAGAGCAGCACCTTGATTCGAACAAGGACCTTGGGATGAAATGTGTCAAAACTGCATGAAAATCCCGTGTGCATCATTACACCATACTGCTTTCCTTGCCCTGTTTTGAATGTCCAGGAGTGCTAGAGATTCAGCAGAATCTGGCCAAAAATATATATTCGCAGAGATGAAGAACAGTACCTTGACTCGAACAAGGACCTCGGGATTTAATACTGTCTTCTGAATGAGGACACATCGAAATCCCGTGTGGTTCATACACCATACTGCTTTCCTTGCCTAGTTTCAAGGTTGGTAGTGTGCCAAAGAGTCAGCTTAACATACCCAAAAAGCAGCTCACCATCTTGCCAGAGCAGTACCTTGATTCGAACAAGGACCTCGGGGATGCCAATATTTGTGAGACTGTAAGGAGACCCGGTGTGCATCATTACACCATACCGCTTTATTTCTCCTGTTTTGAATGTCCAGGAGTGCTTGAGATTCAGAGGGATTTTGCTCAAAAAAATTACCGGAGTGTGAAGAGATAGAAGCAGTACCTTGATTCGAACAAGGATCTCAGGGATGCCAATATTTGCGAGGCTGTAAGGAAACGCGGCGTGCATTCTTACACCATACTGCTTTCTTTGCCCAGTGTCCATACTGGTGGTGTGCCAGACATTTAGGAGGATTTAGGTAAAAGAAAATGCCACCAATCATACAGAGCAGTACCCTGATTCGAACAAGGACCTCAGGAATACATTCACGTCATGGTGCTGACATAAAAAAATCCCGGGTGCGGCATTACACCATACTGCTTTATTTCACCTAGTTTTGAGGTGGATGAGTGTCAGTTATTCAGCCAAAATCCTATGTTTTCAAATTAATAAGAAAGTGGAGTAGGAAAATGAATAGCAGTACCTTGATTCGAACAAGGACCTCAGGAATACATTTTTGCAACCCAGTACCTCAAATGAATCCCGTGTGCATCACTGCACCATACTGCTTTCATTTCCAGAATTCAATGTGGGTGAGTGCTAGAAATTCAGAGGGATTTTGTTCCAAAAAAAAAGGTGGAGTGGGAAGATGGAGAGCAGTACCTTGATTCGAACAAGGACCTCGGGAATTACATGTGCCTCCAACGTCTCAAGAAAATCCCACATGCATCATTACACCATACCACTTTATTTCTTCTGTTTCGAAGTGGGTGAGTACTGGAGATTCAGAGGGACTTAGGTGAAAAGGAACAATCATCCCACAGAGCAGTACCTTGATTCGAACAAGGACCTCAGGATTACGCTATTGTCAGATTAATGAGAAAGAAAGTCCCGTGTGCGGCATTACACCATACTGCCTTTCCTAACCTGTTTCAAGATGGGTGGAGTGTCAGAGATTCAGAGGAATTTTGTGCCAAAAAAAAAGTGCAGGGCAACAGAAAGAGCAGCACCTTGATTCGAAGAAGGACCTCAGGAATACATTCCGTAATAGTTCAGGCGTAAGAAAATCTCGTGTGCGGCATTACACCATACTGCCTTCTCCTACCCAGTTTCAAAGTTGGTGGAGTGCTAGAGATTTGTGGGAATTTTTTGTCAAAAAAAGGGGTCTAGAAGAGTACGGAGGAGCAGTACCTTGATTCGAACAAAGACCTCGGGAATAACTAGTGTTGCCGCGACTCGGAAAGTCGAGTTGCGACTTGGTAAAATGACTCCGTTTCAAGTTTGACTCGACTCGACTCGACTCGGCCGACCTCAAGTCACTCGAAGTAGCTCAAGTCGACTCAGGTCGATGAAGTCGGTTCTGTTTCGTTGCAATTGTTGAGCAGTGGACAAGGCAGGGGAAAGACCCACCTCTGGCAGGCCGAGTGGACGATTATCCGCGGTGTTACTGGATTTGGCCCGCAAGTGTTGATGTTCGCGACGCTGCTGGTTTGGGCTGGTAGATGGGTAAAATTCTAAGACAGCAATTGATTCTCAAGTTGAAAAATGATGTTTTGTGTGATAGGGTAGTCTGCTATGTGCCCCGCAAAGAGATTACACATACATTTAGGCTAAATTCACATCGGTAAATAAAACAGTCGTCAAAGCTCCTGATTCGCATGTACCATATCAATTTTCATTTTCCTCGGGCATCTCGGTATATCCTGCCTCCGCCTCGCAACTATCTGAAATCTCACGCCAAATCTCAGCTCGGTGTCCATCAGCAGCCGAGGCCAAGATGCGAAGCCAGTCTTCCTCCTCGTCTGGAACTGCAGCTGACTGCCACTCGGCCATGAAGTTGAGTCGGGCCTTCTTGGAGTTAAACTTGAACATCTGAAGGGCTTCCATCAGCACAGGGTTGGTACGGTTCCGTCGCTTTGTATCGGTCTCTGCTGATGAGGAGAAAACCCGCTCCGAAGGAACGGAAGTGGCCTGGATGGGAGCGTAATTGGCAAACAGACGGAAAATCTTGGGCCAGGTCGTCCTGCCATGATTCTTAACAAAAAAAAAACAGATGAGTGCAAGACGGCTTGGGAATTCAGACACCAACCATCCAATAGCCAACCATGTCCGTTGACTTCCGTGGAGGAAGAGGACTCGTCATATAGTGGTTCACCTCGTCGTCGAGAGACTGGTCACCGGTAGTCGAGTCCGCAGTCGCAGTGAAATCAAGTGACTGGCCGACATTACGGTACCGCTTTGCTGCCTGCGCTATTCCAGTAAACGCTAGTGCAGCTGGGCGGGATCGGGATTGGGAGTGGGAGCGCGATTCAGAGCCTGATCCACTGGCACCAGGAGAGCTAGCACGAGAATCCCGCGTGTTGACTTTGACCTCCTCGTAGGATTTAAGCTTGGAAAAGTAATCAAAAAAAGTGCGGAGGTTAAACGTGATTGGCCGACCTTGTCCATGATTATTTTCTTTGCCTCCTGCTGCTCTTCATGCGTCCAGTTCTGACGAATCTATTCAAAACGAATTGAAGGGTTGATGACTGTGGGATTTTAGCCTGAGTGCATCACCGTATAACAAAGAACGAAGGCTCACACATAGAAATGATGTATGCATCAGTGTCTGCCATTTTATTGTAGTACTTTTCTGCAATTGCGAGACCAGGCCGAAGAAATTTGCCAATATTCTCGGATCGTAAGTCTGCATCATTGAGCATGGCTTTCCACGATGAAATGAAGAGCTCAAACGCTGGGATGGCGCTGGCTAGGATGGGGGTATTTTCAGATGACATGGATGTTTGGACTGTATGAGGTTGCTGAATGCAAGGTTATGGTGGTTGCGGCGCAAGATCAAAGGAGCCGCACCTGAAGGATCAATTCCATCAACTCCAAGCGACTCCAGTGCTTATTCTCCAGCTGGTGGTGCAATTTATGTGCATCATGGTTCAAGGCCAAAAAGCGAACCACCGGCTACAATATCAAGATTATTTGCAGCATTTACAGAGACTAATTTGACGAACCTGCTGTAAATATCGCAGGCGGCAAAGCATGTAGAACACCGAGTCCCACCGTGTCTTTACATCGGCTAGAACTGTTACGGAAGCCAAATTGACCTATAATTCAACAAGTCAGGTGGTCATATTGAAGGTTCGAGAACACGAAGTTGACCGGAGTCTCTACCGCCTCGCCATTATCTCCCAGAGTCACCTCTCTCCACAGCGATTTAGTGTTGCCTTCTGTGATGATGTTTTGGAGCTCATCACGTCGTTGGCCCGACTTTCGAATGAAAGCCACCGTTTTTCTCGCTCGCCGGATGGGGCCAGCCTTCCGTGAGTAGCGTGGTGCTCGCATAACAGCTTCCCTATCGTCGGAATTCTCGCTTTCGGTCCCCGGCTCTGTCTCCGTGTCGGAGTATGCTAAATTCACGTCGTCTTTCTCCATCACTTTGATAACAGCCTGGGAGCACAAGTTAATGACATGGGCGAAACAACGAATGTAGTTCTTCTTGTCGTCGAAGGAAAGAACATTGATATCCTCCAGAAGAAGTTTGAGGTGGAACATGAACGAGCCGTTGTTGGAGGCGTTGTCAAGGGTGAAATGCCCGACCTGATAGTACTTGAGTTCGATATACATGCGAGAAAAAAGTGATACTCACTTTTTTGATGATTCCAGCGTTGTCCAGAGTATTGTACACAATGCGTGCGATACGCTGCCCGCTGTGGGCACCGCAGATACGTCGAAACGCTAACAATGCTTGGCGCAGTAAAACTTGCTGTTCTTCGCCTCTTGGGCCGAGCCAATGTGCGGTGATAGCGAGATACGGATGCAAGCCCTTACTGCTCCAGATGTCAGCGGTGAAACTGATATCCCCAATTGCAGCCTTGCATTTTAGTGATGGTATTCAAATCGTTCAAGCCAGAGGATAGTACTCACACCCAAAGTCGCTTTAAGCTCAACATAATACCGCATCCAGGCCTCAATAACGAGGTTGGTGAGTTTGGTTCGGTGTGGGATGTCCTTGTCGCTGAGCGACTCGCGCAGAAGGAGTAATAGGTCTCGGAACTCGCGACTTTCAATAAGATGAATGGACTACGTGATCGGTCAGAAAAGAGGCAAATGTTAGCAGGATTCAACGCACCAGATCGTTGGTAACAAAGACTTTGATCAGTTGCTCTGTGAACGCTGTCATCGAAAATGGAAGCCGTTGGAGATCCATTGCACGCTGTTCATCCAGTTGCCTCTGACGTTCTGCTGGAAGCTTGTTCGTGAGACCGTGTTTGGTAACAATATCCACGTATATGTTCGCATGCCCTTCGGATTGGAGATGCTTTCGGCGAGTGGTGAGGCTCGAGCCACCGCCGTAAACTTTTCTGGGGTCAACACTTAGGACATCATTGGCAGCAGATGTGTGAACTTCTTACGGGCATAAGCGGCACTTGAACGACCCATCCAGTTGATGATGCCCATAGAAATATTTACAATCAGCTGACTTGTGTAGGAATTTTGTCATTGCCCTAGAATAGATCAGGACAGGTGGGTTACAAGTGGCTAAGGTAGGTACATTATAGTAGCTGCTTTTATACTATTCAACTTGCTGAGTAATACCTTCGGGGTGCATCAGTCATCCCGACCATGCTGAGTGATCCCGATTCCCACGGTTGGCCGAGCTCCGATGCTCGCACAGCCTCCAACATTCCAACAACTTGTCGGTTTGAAGGAGATCCTCGGCGGCGGTCCATGTGTATCCGTCCGCGTCAGTGGTCCCTGCCGGTAGAGCGGCAGCGCGGCGGCGTTGCCGGGGTGCTGCTGCTCCACCTGTGGGCTGTTGGGATGTTGTCGTAGGTGCTCCTTCCGCGTCAGTGGTCCCAGCCGGTACAGCGGCAGCGTGGCAGCGTTGCCGGGGTGCTGCTGCTCCACTTGCGGGCTGTTGGGATGTTGTCGTAGGTGCTGGTTGCGAAGGAAGGAAATCCTCGTCGGAGTCGAATGATGGTGCGGGAATACGACCAGCGGGCTGGCCAGGACGAATAGCAGGCGGGTTGTCCGAATCAGAGGTGTTCTCAGTGTCAGAAGTCTCAGGACCAGGATTACGCATCTGAGGACCGGGGCTAGCCATCGCCGTTTGATGTGTTAGCAGACCAGCCAGCCTATCCGCAACACGACGAGCGGGAGTCAATGGTGGCAGGGCCTGGTAAATTTGATGAGGTTAATTCGCTGAAGGGAATGAAACATACCATGGCAGTGGCAGAGCTTGATTGGATTGATCCCGGACTTTGCAAAGGTATTGAGGGCGGTCCTGCAAAAAGTCTAAGCCCGGGAAAAAAATACAGAGTAACCGACAAACCGGTCGAAGTCCGAGTTTGAGGGCCAGTTCCGGTATTAGCGGCAGCAGTACTTCGAACAGGCATAGCAGACTGTCCTGCAAAGAGTCAGCTGAAAAGGAAATCATCTTTACTGCCGACAAACCTGTCCTCTGTGAGCCGGTTCTGGCATTGACTGGTGCATGGGGCTGAGTGGCTGTTTAAACACTGAGCAGAAACTTGACGAAGGTTGGAAAATATTACAAGATAGTCCTGCGAAGCCCCGCAGTTGATCCCCGGCGCTCACAGTATGTGCGGTCGTCGAAGCTGGAGGTCCAGTAGGGTGCGCTGCCTGGGTTGCTTGACGCCTGGTACGAAGTCCAGCTCTGGCATCCGGTGGAGTGGGGGGGGCTGCTTGGTCTTCGTCATCGGGTTGTCGTGCAGAGCGTCGATTTGCCGCAGGCA